TGAAGAAAAACTAACTAAAACATACAAAACGTCAAACATAGAGTTTATAATATTTGGTTGAGGTTAATTTGTTCTGTTTTTCCACTCAAACATGTGTTTACCCCTAAAGCAGTTGTTCTTAGGCTGTGTTTTGGTACACTAAGCTACACTGCTACTTAACTGATTACACTGAAGCAACGTAAAATACTACATTTGCAAATACATTATTTGAACTATATACAATACTACAATTCATTCAAAAGATGACAACAGCCTATACAATTTGATAAAGTTTTAAATTTTAATTTTTCGTACTTACTGAGGTAAAACTGAAATAATATTATGTAAATCCAATGTCAATGTTTTATGAAACAAGCACCCGATGTTATTTAATCATAAATATTGAGTTTACTAAAGTTTGTATAAATTTTATTTACGAAATTGGCTAGCTCATAATCATAAATCAGTGAGAGACAATTATTTTTCAATATGTGTTCAACAAAAAATCAGTAAGGAGTTTTTCAAGTATGATTTAACTTTCATACTTACAGCAGGAAGTAGAAAATCGAAAGGTGTTATTTACAACTAAATTATGTTAGCTAAATTTATGAAGCTTTAAATATATATATATATATATATATATATATATATATATATATATATATATATATATATATATATATATATATATATATATATATATATATATATAATATATATACATATATATATATATATTATATATATATATATATATATATATATATATATATATATACATATATATGATATGTATATATATATATATATATCACTTCCTGTTTGATTTTTAAAAAAAATTATATTTTGTTGTTATAATAACAAAAACAGCACTACTGATGATTTTTTGAAAGGCCTCTAGTGCTAAAATTTATAATTAGAGTAATTTTTGTAAAATTAAAAGAAGAAAATATTTCGTTTATTGTTTATTTTGTTGACTAACTTTTTTACTTATATATATATATATATATATATATATATATATATATATATATATATATATATATATATATATATATATATATATATATATATATATATATATATATATATATATATATATATATACATATATATATCGAGGACTTCTATACGGTTAGCCGTGAACACAAGGAACAGTTATCATAAACAATAATTGTCACAAAACTCTCTTTGAAATCTTTTGACATAAAAATGCATATGAATTTATCATCTTGTTGAGATATTACTATATTTTTATACTTTTTGTGATGAAATAATTCAATTATTGATCTAAACCTGAGGACATGCTATTGAATTATTTCATCAAAAAATGATCTTTTTTGATGAAGTAATTCAATTGCATGTCCTCAGGTTTAGGTTGGCGAGGCACAGACTTTGGCGTTGGTAAACAAGAAAAAGAAACATTAAAAATACAAGGTGCACATGCTGGTCGAGTATAGCCACCAGGCAGCTTAATCATTTCTGTATTATTAGGCCAATGTTTTTCACATATAAAAAATTTAGATGGCTCAATAATAAAATTTTTACGTAAAGGAAGAACATTAATCCATTTCTGTTTCTCAATTTCATCTTTCGGTAATTTAAAAATACGACACTTATTAAGTTTATTATAATTCCCGTTACAATTTACAATGCCACATTTGTTCACCATGATTATGGTTAAAATTTTTAAAAAATGTTACAGGAAAGTTAAAAAACACTTCAACTTTGATTAACAAATAACATTATTGTATCAGTTCATTGTTTTGAAAGAAGCTGCTATTATAGTTGAAAAACATGGTGCAATAGTTTTAGGATCTGTAACTGATAATCTTAAAATCAATCAGCAATACTGCAAAATTTTCAACAGAATAACTGACTATCAGGCCATTCATCCGTTAGACAATCAGCGTGTTTGGTTTCTTTTATTTGACACAGTTCATCTACTTAAATGTATTCGCAATAACTGGATTTCTGAAAAGAGTCAAGCTATGGTTTTATTATCTCTCGATAATAAAACCATAGCTTCATTTTCAGATGTGAAAAGTCTATATCAATACGAGAAAGAGAACATTTTAAAAACAGTTCCTTTATTTTATGCTGCTGTCTATCCTTCGAGACTTCAACTACAGAATGTACAGCATGTTTTAAAAGTGTTTAATGAGAAAGTAGTAGCTTCCCTTAAACTAAAAGGAGCTTATGAAACATCCTCTTTGATCCAGCAAATTTTAGAATGGTGGAATATTGTTAATGTTTTTGCAAAAAGGCAGGATGTAAGGTTGAGAAATCACAACCGATCTGTGCAAGATAAAAACTCAAATAATCTTCAATTGTTTTTAGACATATTTAAATGTATGAAACCAGGACATGGGCCTAAACGAGTTCAGTGCGTTATCCATGATACCAAAAAAGCCCTTGTGCAAACTACTGAAGGATTGATAGCTCTCAGCAAACATTTGTTTTCAGTTGGTTTTGTTTATGTTTTGCTTCGTGAGCTACAAAGTGATAGAATAAAAGGAGAATTTTCTGTTTATAGACAATCAACAGGGGCAAATGCTTTTATGGCAGCTGATGATGTTTATTATATGTTCTTTGTTTTTTTATAGAGGTTTTTTATATCGATCTTTTTTAGCTTTTTAAAATAAGTTTTGATTTTGTTATTAACAATAACGTAAAATTATTTTAATCGTATTTCAGAATTTTGATTTTATTAAAAGTTGTTGTAGCCAATTTTAGTTATTTAGGAGTTGAGTGAGAAATAATGACTGGTCTTCGCTAGCGGAGTCAGAAAATCGACTTTGCGCGTCCTTCCGTATAGTAGTCCTTGATATATATATATATATATATATATATATATATATATATATATATATATATATATATATATATATATATATATATATATATATATATATATATATATATATATATATATATATATATGTATATATATATATATATATATATATATATATAAATTTTATTAAATTTTTAATATAGCCAAAAAAATTGTAACAAGCTTTTTATACCTGATGATGTCAACTGATATTGATGAAACATGTCAAAAAGTTTATTAAGTTGTTATTTATTTGAAAATAATAATTTTTGTCTTATGGGTCCCTAAATTTTTCAAAAATATGTCAACTTGGTACTCAAAATTGCGAAATGGTAGTGAAAAAATATAAAAAAATTTAAAAAATAATATTCATTTTGAAAAAAATTGTTATTTTTGGTTTTATTACATAAAAAATTACGTTTTTTAACAAAAAATGAAAAAAAACATTTTTTTATGTTTTTTTTTTTTTTTGATAACTTTGATAAATAAGTTAAAATTTATATATATATATATATATATATATATATATATATATATATATATATATATATATATATATATATATATATATATATATATATATATATATATATATATATATATATATATATATATATATATATATATATATATATATATATATATATATATATATAAGAACTTTAAATATAAATATGTATATATAAAGTAAAGTTCTAAAGTTTACAAATAGCGGTTAAGATTTTTGAGTAAAAAAACATTTTATCCATCACAAAAAAAATGTTTTAATCTTTCATCTTCTTCAACTTTCAACATAAAATTTAAACAGTTAGTTTTTTTTAAAAAAAAAAAGTCAACATTGAAGACCAGAAAACATAAAAAAAAGATTTTTTTTAGATTGATAGATTGCCTGCGTAGACCAAAACACTCAGTCGATGATGAGGGGTACTCCTTACCTAATAATGTCACATGATGTATATACACTCTTTTGTATTTTCTATCTAATTAAGTCAGAGGATGAATATAAATTAAAGCCTGCGGATGGATGTAAACTCCGCAGCGCTAGTCTCTAAATAAACTTGTCGATAAAATAAAAATGAAAAAATAATTAAAACAAACAAAACTAAATAATAAAAGCAGTAAAAACATAAAAATAAAAATCTTTCTGAATAACTAAACTAAATAAACTAAAAAACAATCTGCTATATTGCGTTATTGTAGGTTTTTTTAAAAAAAGGGATAAAATTTAAATAGTTTCCTCTCAATTATTTTAGCCGTTTTTACTTAATGTAAATTTGATTTGCACACAACTTTAAACACAAAGAGTTGTTAAGAGTCGTTTTTTACTGTAAATTTTATACGTAAGTGTCAAATATAGTATATATACACAGACGTGGCTACCCCATATAACATTATTGGTTTTTAGCATATGTCATTAAACATTGTGTTACCTCATACATTCATTCTCTTTCGTGTCATCTAATCCATTTATTCTCTCTTTTATACATACATATATATATATATATATATATATATATATATATATATATATATATATATATATATATATATATATATATATATATATATATACCTGTGTGTGTGTGTGTGTGTGTGTGTGTGTGTGTGTGTGTGACAAAAAAATCCCCAATACAAAGATTTACAAAACTTTGAAAACAATTTGATCGAATTGTTTAATAAACTTTAAAAGATATAAAAAGGTAAACATAGCAAATTAAAAAACTTATCCAAACGCATTATTGTTTATCGTCAAATTTGCGAAATCGGTAAGGAAGAAGGCTTGAACTTTCTAGTTAAATGTTCTTTCAGTAATAAGTCCGTATGGACTACTTAATAGTAATAAGTCCGTGTGGACTACTTAATAGGTTTACTATATATTAACTACTAATAAATTATAATTCCATATTGATTACTGTTTAATTGCAATGTAAATTATGTTTTTATTGTAGGCGATAATGAGTTAGCTAAATTTGGCTATAATGAGTTAGCTGAAATCGCTGTAAATGAAATCGCTTTTTAAAAATTTTGTATTTTAATATTGATCAAGAGGTTATTACTAAAATCAATATACAAAACACAATCTTCATTACCTAAAGTATTACCAATTCTCCAAAAAATACCACCGATTGGAATCTTCAAAAAAATCCTTTAAAAAGTTAACAAAAAAATTTACAAAAAAACTTACAAAAAAAATTGCTCTGCAAATTACCAGCTGTTTTCAAATAAATATGTTGATAAGCTGTTTAAAAAGTTAATTTGAAACGTTTTTAAGTAAAATCACGGTTTTCTTCATACATTTTGGTTATCGTAACTTCTACAGAGAAATAAGTAATATGTGCCGCATCATTAAATTATCGCGATAAATTGATTATTTTAAATAAAGTTAAATTTAAGGGATTAAAAAAAAAACAAAATGTTATCTATTAATAATTTTTATTGATTATTCACTTATTTTATATATAAAAGTTTTATATTTTACCAATAGAAAACATAAAATCAATTAATAATAAATAACGCACTTATGCATTCAAATAGAACTTTTTTGTACTAATTATGAAACGCAGAAGCATCTGGTTTCAAAAGCTTCATAAAAAAAATGATGTTATTGTTTTAATCAAATGTTTTGATGTTTCTCAAATAAAGTCACTTCGAAATTTCTAGCTAATACCAAAATTCTTCGAGTCTATCACATAATTGGATCTGTGTTGTATTGATTAAATAATAAGAAATGAAATGGATACAATCTCTAGCAGTATTTTCGACTATAAATCGAAAAGATATAGTTAAATAAAATTACTTTTCTTTCTAAATGCAAAAAACTGTTTTTTGTATAGCAAAGTAATGTTCATGCTGCCTAAATGTGATGTTAGATGGAAATAAATTAGATATATTTATGGATGAAAATAATTTATTTATTCTTTATAAAGTATAAGTTAATAATGTATTATTTTTGCATTGATAGAAACTCCCTATTGAGTTTAAGCTCAATTGGGAAGCTCTTGATTATAAATTGCTGAATTAAATTATTGAAGGAAAATTGCAGACCAGGACCCCTATATTGTAAGCTTTCAATAAATGATGTGCCAGCAAAATGTGAAAACGGTTATTTGTTAAAATATGATAATAGTATATATAATGTTGTAATAAGACTAACTTTGTAATAACGCTAACTTTGTAATAACGCTAACTTTGAAATAATTGAATAATATCGAAAGAACTATGACGACAGATAGCTCATGAATACTCAACTTTTTTAAAAGTAGCTCCTAAAAGGTTTTTTTAAAGTTTTTTTAGGGACCAATTTTAAAATGTAACTTTTGTTCGGAGACTAAGATCCCTAACTAGATGTCTAACTTGCGGGATTTTATTGGACAAAAAGTAAAGCCGCTTTTTTTTGTTTATAACAATAGCCCGCCATTTGTAAAAAGGGCAAAAGCTGAAGCCGAAGTGTAGAATAAAAGTTAAAAAAACAAGTCAAAAGTTCCTAATAAATTAAAGATAATTTAAAAACAAAATAATTTAATAATTATAAAATACTTATAAAAGTTTTTTTATGAGCCTACGTTTATTAAAAAGTATTTTAATTCAAAAAAATACTTTAAAAGCGCATGTCGTTTTACTTTTCTGCTCTTAACTTTAATACCTTTTTAATCGAAAACAAATTAAGGAATCATAAATTATTATTTTATAAGTATTACAACTTCAACTTAACACTTTTACGTAAATAGTATTTAAATTTAAAATATATTTACTTCATTTAAGAAAAAAAAAGTTAAAAATATTTGTTGACAAATTTAATCTGCCATTTGTAAAAAGGGAAAAAGCAGCTTCATGTTTCGGATCGAAGTTAGACATCTAGTTATATAATATATCATTGACATATATTGCCGTTGAAGGAGATGTTACATCCTACATAAATTTACAAATAAAATTATTTGCCGTACCAAGAAGAAGACATTATTTTTATCTTATCGTGTTACAATATATACTTTTTACAAAATTTTTTCCAAGAGTGTAAAGTATAAACTAAGAAATAAGATAGATATTTAGAAAAATATTAACATTAGAATAAGATCGTCCCAATTAATAGGTAATACCTTAAATATATTAAATAAAACAAAAAACAAATAAACAAACAAACAAAAAAAGGAACAAGAAAGTTTGAAAAAAGCGATTTATGATGATAATGTCAATAATTATTTATTCTAGTTTTGGAAATTACAGGGCAATTAAATTTAAGATTAACTTAAATTTATTACATTGTCTTTTAGTTGATGTACACCTTTTAAAGATGTAATCGAGAACTTGAAAGCTGTAATTAAGAAAAGTAAGATGTAATTGAGAAAGTGAAAGTTGTAAGTAAGAAACGTTACATGTAATTGAAAAGATGAATGTTATAATTAAGAAAAGTAAGATGTAATTGAGAAGATAAAAGTTGTAATTAAAAAACGTCAGATGTAATTGAGAAAATGAAAGTGGATGATAAAAAAATTGTAAAATGTAATTGAGAACATAATAGTTGTAATTAAGGAAAGTATAAAGAATACAAAGTTTTTTGTATTTTAAATTTTGTAGTCCTAATATACTTTGTAAACTAAGGCTAAAAATAATAAAATAACATCAATAAAATATAAAAAATCATGAAAAAGGCATTTGAGGTTTAGGCGGTAGCTGAAAAAATCCTATTGGGTGTCAATTAAAACTTTCTTTTATTTTTGTTTGTGAAAAATTTAATTGAGATTTCAGACAGGGCCAACCCAAGTTACGGGCGGACCGGGCACCGGTCCGCCTGTAATAAGCGATAACACATAAATATAATGTGCCCCCTATTTTTCTGCCCGGAACGTAGAAATACTGGGCACATTATAATTATGTGTACCACCGCAAAGTTGTTATCTAATGACCTCATTTTTTAAAGTTCCTAATTCAAAATATTGCAAATTAAAATTATTTAAATTTATAAAAATGCAATTCTGGGTCGTAAAAGGTATTAAGTAATACATTTTTTGCAGAATTAAAGTGTTGTGTTTCAAAATTTATTTTTTGTTTAGCCTTAAGAAAAAATAATTAATTTTAGAACGATCGCTTAATAAAAATTTATGCACAACTTATTTTCGTTTTAATTTGATTAATTTAAAAGTCCATCATGTCTGCAAATAAACCATCGGGTGCAACAAACCGAAAAAGACAATTTGAATTTAAACGAGAAATGTAAAGTCTGCAAAGTTTTTTTACAAAATATTTTCAAGTAGAGTCCAAGCAAAGTGAAGAAATTGGTTGCCTTTTGTCATTAGTTGGTAGTAATTCTTTTTTGGACAAGAAAATCGAAGAAGAAAGCCTAAACAACTTCAAACAACATCTAAGTCTCCTAGTTTGTTTTTTTTTGTTACTATTTTTAGGTGCGCTTTAATCACTGCGCCACGGCCGCACTACTGGTGTTGTTCAAATAGATATAAATAATATAAATGGCACTATGGCCAGTTCCTCTTAATTCTAAAATTTGTAATTACATATTTATGTAGGAATTGATGTAGAATCTCACCTAACAAATGTTATTGATTTTCCACGAGATCATAACAAACGTTGTTTTTCGAAATCATTAATGTACAGAAAATTAAATAATGGTGAATCCTATTTGCGAACCTGGTTACAATATTCATCAAGTTCTGATAAAGTGTTTTGTTGTAAACTTTATTATTTAGATAAAACAAAATCATCATTAGCCACTGTTGGAATCAATAACTGGAAACACATTACTTAATATATAAAATCGCATGAATTGGTTTGAAGCTAGTCGTAGGCTTTAAACACATAAAACTATTGATAAAAATTTGCAATCTTTAATTATTAGAAAAAGAGGTCACTGGCGCCTTATGCTAGATCGCATGTGCAACATATCGAATTAGAAACAAAAAAATAGTTATTGTGTATCTTAATAATATACAAAACTTAAAAGAAAAAATGTTAGAAAAAAGGCATGTTTTAAAATTGGAGGGTAGCCTCGGACACATAGTTTAACCATGATTTTACCTCTTTTTTACCAGTGTGACACATATTTAATATATAATAATTTAACATTAGACTGTTCTCGACCCATTTTTAAAAAAATCGCCCTTAAAAATTGCCTCTGATATATATGAAATGAGAATGAAAATGTCATCATTTAAAAATATAAACATAAGCTTTTTTATAATGAAAATAAACACTCTTAAAACACTTTTTTCAAATCTGTTTTTTTATTGGAATTAAATGAATTACTGTTATAGGTTTGTGCATTATATAAAATGTAATAATATTTATGTAAAAAAAATTGTTTATTATTAATATGTAAACGAATTAAGTTGTCCGGAGCCACCCTCCAAACATGTGCCCGATACCACCCGATCATACTTCATTCACAAATACTAGTTTAAAACCAGTGAACTAATTAGTTCACTGGTTTTAAAACTAGTATTGTAGTAATTCGTTAAAAAGTTTAATTTTTTTAACGAATTTTTTTTTTAAACTATTGTAAATAAAAGTATATCTTTAACCATTAAAAATTTATTAGTTTACATAAAAATTAGGTATATTAATATGTGAATCAAATATGATGATATGTCGCTCTTCTGGTGGTGGGAAACAAAATCTTGCCCTCTCAGTCAATCGCTTCGACATTTTATAATAGATATTTTGCATATACCATATTTTTACTCAAATAATGTTGTTCTAGTATTAAAAGTCACATAGCTTCTTTAGTTTAAGCAGTACATCAAGTGTCCGGAAGTACCCGCCGTCCGGGGCTACCCGACTTTCCCCTAATGCTTGTTACCTGGTACAATATTTTACCGGTTTTTACATCCATTTAAAAAAATCATGACAACTATTTAAAACAACCATGACATTCATTTAAAACACCGCAACAATCAATTTAAACAATGTGATTTTCAATTAAAACAATCGTGACTTTCAATTAAAATATTTAACGCATGCGCAATCTCAACATTTTATATTATTTTAAAAAAAAGGTTTTTTTAAGTTAGTTCAATTTTCTTATCTTAGATTAGCACTTGCCCATATGATTTTGCCGTATATAAATAACTATATATAAAAGAAAAAACTATTTTTTTGTTTTTGCTCCATAGATGATGCCAATGTTTTTAAAGAATTTTTTTCAATTAAGTTTATATGGTGTATCCACGATAGATTTTTATCAAAATTCACTCCTAAAAAATTAACGGAAGTTTGCCTTAAAGTATTAGTTTTATTAATTTGAAGATTGGGTAGAATGAGAGGTATTCGCTAGGTTTATGGAAAAGGGAAAATTTTGTTTTTTGAACATTTGAAGACAGAATTTTTTGTCATTTCACGAAATGAGCAAAAAATTGCACAGTTTGTGAAATGAGCGATTTCACGATCTGTGCGTAACATATATATATATATATATATATATATATATATATATATATATATATATATATATATATATATATATATATATATATATATATATTTTTTTTTTTCTTGAGCACCTCCATGTTATTAGAGTGTAATACAGAAAAAATAGTGATTTTTGGGCTAAATTTTAAATTTGCCGGTGCTCATTCAATTGTGGATTAATCTTAAAAAAAATTATTATATATCTTTTTTTTATGCCTAAATACAATACCAAATATATATATATATATATATATATATATATAATATATATATATATATATATATATATATATATATATATATATATATATATATATATATATATTTGGTATTGTATTTAGGCATAAAAAAAAGATATATAATAATTTTTTTTAAGATTAATCCACAATTGAATGAGCACCGGCA